TCCAAGTTAGCTCTAGAGGCTTACTGGGTTTGAAGTTCAATTTTTTTGGCAAGAATTCTTCAAAGGTAGGCTGTGTGTTTCATACTGCATCACGTCAGGAGGCTGTGATGTCTGGGTATCTCACTTCTGGTGATACAAACATGAGCTGCCTTTACCTGCCATTGTAAAGTTCCTAATTGACTTTTCATGAGGGTTTCATTCATTGATAGTCTTTGCCTAAAACAATTATATTTTTAGGGGTTGCCCAATGGTGATTTTCTGATTCTATCATCACTCCCACATTTATTAGTTGAATTTTTTTCTATTGAAAATATTCTTTCTCTCATCAGCTTGTGCTATCTGGCTACTCTGAATAGTTTTTATATAGGAAGGGGAGGATAAATGCTTTTTAAAAAAATATTTTTTTTGGATTCACAAATTTCTAGATAAGGGGTTGGTGCTTTAGATAAACCTTTCCCCCACCCCCCCACACACCTATTTTATAGATAGAGAAGTTGAAACTCAGAGATGTCAAGTAAATTGTTCAAGATCCCAAATAGCTGGTAAGGAGCGGGAATGATATTCAATTCTGTATCATCTGGCCTCAAAAGTGTATGTTTTCATGAGACCAAAATGCACCCTTGCCCTCAAAGCCCCAGTTGCAGACAGCTGGGGGTTGCTACTACATATATCTCCCATTATTTTTCCCTTTCAGAACTAAACTCCAAGAACTCTCCTTTGCAGGCATTCTAGCTGTATAAACCATACTCCAGAACTGTAACTCCCATTGAAGGTGTTGGTTTGGATAGGCAAAGAGCTGGACAGGGCCAGAAAACATGTCAGGTACTTAGTAGGAGAGGTTTTTAGGATCACAGTTTGTGCTTTAGGCACCTGCAGCAGCCAAAGTGTGAGTCACTCCAAATTATGGCTGGAGCAGATACTCATGAACAGAATAGTCTGGAGAGTTGTCAGATGTTCAGATCTTATCTTTCCTAACAGTTCTGTTTCTCTTGCTCCCCCCACTACCATTTTAGATTTGAGGGGAGAATTTAGCTAACTGTGTAAACATTACTTTGCAATTCCCAAACCTCAATTGACTATGTCCCAGGCACCTGGCCTCAACCACCCCCCTGGAGCTACGGCCCTTTACTGCTGGCATACCTCATTTTATTGCACTCTGCTTTATTGCACTTTGCAGATATTACATTTTTTACAAATTGAAGGTTTGTGGCAATACTGCATTGAGCAAGTCTGTAAACGATATCTTTCCAACAACATGTGCTCACTTTGTGTCTCTGTCACATTTTGGTAAATCTTGTGATATTTCAAACTCATTATTATTTTATGTGTATGGTGATCTGTGATCAGTGATCTTTGATATTACGATTGTAATTGTTTTGGGTGCCACAAACTGCACCCATAGAAGATGGCAAATTTAGTTGACAAATGCTTGTTTTGTGACTGTTCCACCGACCCCGCCATTACCCTGTCTCTCTCCCTCTCCTTGGGCCTTCCTAGTCCCTGAGATACAACAGTATTGAAATTAGGCCAATTAACAACCCTATAGTAGCCTCTAAGTGTTCAAATGAAAGGAGGAGTCTCATGTCTCTCACTTTAAATAAAAAGCTAGAAATGAGTAAGTTTAGTGAGGAAGGCATGTCGAAAGCTGGGACAGGCCTCTTGCACCAATTAGCCAAGTTGTGAATGCAAAGGAAAAGTTCTCGAAGGAAATTCAAAGTGCTCTCTAATGAACACACAAATGATAAGAAAGTGAAATGGCCTTATTGCTGATATGGAGAAAGTGTGAGTGGTCTGGATAGAAAATCAAACCATCCACAACAGCCCCTTAAGCTGAGGCCTAATCTGGAGCAAGGTGAAAGCTGACAGAGGTGAGGAAACTGCAGAAGAAAAGTTTGAAGCTAGCAGAGGTTCGTTCATGAGGTTTAAAGAAAGAAGCTGTTTCCAGAACATGAAAGCGTAAGGTGAAGCAGCAAGCGCTCATGTAGAAGCTACAGCAAGTTTTGTAGAAGATTATGCAATTATCAGAAAATTGATGAACGTGGCTGCACTAAAAACAGATTTTTGATGTAGATGAACCAGCCTTGTATTGGAAGAAGATGGCATCTAGGACTTTCACAGTTAAAGAGAAGTCAATACCTGGCTTCAAGGCTTCAAAGGACAGGCTGACTCTCTCCTTAGAGGTTAATGTAGCTGATGACTTTAACTTGAAGCCAATGCTCCTTTACTGTTCTGAAAATCCTAGCGCCCCTAAGAAATGTACTAAACCTACTCTGCCTGTGCTCTAGAAACAGAACAGCAAAGCTTGAATGACAGCTTATCTGGTTACAAAATGATGTATTAATTTTTTTTTTTTTTTTTTAAGACTGAGTCTTGCTTTGTTGCCCAGTCTGGAGTGCAGTGGTACCACTATAGCTCATTTTACCCTTAAACTGCTGGGCTCAAGTTATCCTCCCCTGCCTCAGCTTCCCAAGTAGCTAGGACTACAGGCACATGCCATTATGCCCAGCTAATTAGAAAATATTTTTTTTTAGAGATGAGGTCTCATTATGTTACCCAGGCTGGCTTCAAACTCCTGGCCTCAAGCAGTCCTCCCACCTTGGCTTCCCAAAGTGCTGGAATTACAGTTGTAAGCCACCACGCCTGGCCATTTATTAAATATTTTAAGCCCACTGTTAGACCTACTGCTCAAAAAAAAAAAAAAAAAGAGAGATTCCTTTCAAAAATATTACTGCTCCTTGATAATAAACCTGATCACCCAAGAGCTCTGATGGAGATGTACAAGGAGATTAATATTCTTCTGTTCTGCAGCCCATATAGATCAAGGAGTAATTTAGACTTTCAAGTCTTATTACTTAAGAAATACATATTGTGAGGCTATAGCTGTTATACATAGTGATTCTCTGATGGATCAGGAAAAAGTAAATTGAAAACCATTTGGAATGAATTCACCATTCTAGATGCCATTAACAGGAGTTTGGAAGAAGTTGATTCCAGCTCTATGGATGGCTTTGAGGGGGTTCAAGACTGTTGTGGAGGAAGCAATTGCAGATGTGGGGGAATAGCAAGAGAACTGGAGCCTGAAGATGTAACTAAATTGCTGCAATTTCATGATAAAACTTGAACACATGAGGATTTGCTTCTTATAGATGAAATGAAGAATGTGGTTTCTTGAGATGGAACCTACTCCTGGTGAAGATACTGTGAACATTGTTGAAATGACAACAAAGGATTTAGAATATAACATAAACTGAGCTGATAAAGCAGCAGCAGGGTTTGAGAGGATTAACTCCAATTTTGAAAGTAATTCTACTGTGGGTAAAATGCTATCAAACAGCATCACATTCTAGAGAGATTGCAGCAAGCTTCATTGTTGTCTTATTTTAAGTAATTGCCACAGTCACCCAGCCTTTGGGAACCACCACCGTGATCGGTCAGCAGTCATCAACATCGAGGCAAGACCCTCCACAGGCAAAAGGCTGATGACTCACTAAAGGCTTAGATGATCATTAGCATTTTTTAGCAATAAAGAATTTTTTATTTAGGTGTGTACTTTTTTTAGACATTGCACACTTAATAGACTACAGTAGTACAAAGGTAACTTTTATATGCACTGAGAAACCAAAAAATTTGTGACTTGCTTTATTGCAATATTTGCTTTCTTGCTGCAGTCTGAAACCAAATCTGCAGTATCTCTAAGGGATGCCTGTATCTTAAAGTTAGTGTTAATAGAACATAAATCACTTAGGAGATTTTCTTGGCTTCATGGTGTCTACAACATCATGGGCTTCCAATGCTGGAGTCCCTACCTGACTCTGAGAAAGAACTGTAGACTTCTTATGCCCAAGCAGTGCAAACTCTTTTTTTGGTGTCTTCCACCTTTCATTTCTCCCATTAACATGGCAGCCTACATTAGAAATGACCAATAACAAACACTGAATTGCAGCTGGGGAGGTCTCCTGTGCTTACTGTGGCCAGAGGCCCCCATCTCAGCCCTGGTGTTCCGTGTTGTACCTCCAAGTGCACAAGGCCCACCATCCTGCCATCCCAGGCCAGTACTGAAATTCCCTAAGCACCTGCATTTTGTATATCAGACAGAAAATGTATGTGGTCTGTCCTTGCATACAGGGGACTGTCGTTAGCCCCTTGAAAAGATGCCATAGCTACAAGCAGAGGTCCTGTGAAGCAGTAATCTTGAAAAAAACCAGGCAAATAATTCTACATTTTGTTTTGGAAGATAACGTCAGGTCCAGGGAATCCAGATACAGAAAATGGCAGAGGAGGATGAAAAAATGTTGTGTCACTGACAGTAGCCTCCGATTGTGTGTACATATTAGGGTTCCTTACACAGCACCTGGCCCAGAGCCGTCCAGGAGAACTTTCTGTGATGATGAGAATGTTTTTATCTTGTGCTGTCCAATATGTAAACCGTTTACCAATATGTAAACCACGTGTGGTTGTTAAGCACTTCAAGTGTGGCTAGTGCAACTGAAAAACTTAGTTTTTTAAAACTTAATTTTAATCAGTTAAATTTTAGTAGCACATGTAGCTAGGGGTTACCATGTTAGACAAGGCAGTTACTTGTGTTCTTAACTTTTGTGTTCTTAACTTTTCATATCTCTTAACAATATATATAAGTCGGGCTGTTTTAAAATTGCTCAAAAACTGAAGGCACCAATTTCATTAATGATACATTTTCTTTGTGAAATTAGATTTGTAAAGGGTTAGAAATTCAAGCCTTTCGGATAAAGGCAAACTTTTATTATGTGACTAAACTTCAATGGAAAATTAATTGTGATCAAACTTTGATTTTTAAGATTTGTATACTTTATGAGCTGTAGGGGTGATGGTCGCACAACAATGTGCAACTTAATGTCACTGGACTGTTAAAATGACAAATTTTATGGTAAGTATATTTTACCACAATAAAAAATGATACATTTTGTTTTATTCTATTGGGCCCGATTTTGATTTAATGCTGTTAAAATGTCCCACTGCCGTAGGCCTTGCCGAGAGCCTGGTCCGGCACGTTCCCGGCTGCAGCGTGTTCCTCTTCGGGGAAGCCGACCTGCCCGAGAAGCGCAGTCTGGTCCAGAGGAGGAAGCAGCTGGGCTGGTTCACAAGGAGGGATTTCAGTGTTCTCCAGCCTGACCTGGGAGCTGCGCCTGCCCGAAGATGTGGCTTAACAGGTTCTGAGTATGGCCTCTGCTCTGTTTCATTGTTTTAACTTGACGGAATGCTGAGGTCTCCTTTATTGGGTCACACCCTCATAATTCGGGGAGAGTTACAGCAGTGGCTTCTTCTTGAATCAGGTGATGGTTTCCTCTAGGCTCTTAGTCTTCCCCGGGCTAACCTGTAAGCCTAGAAACATCTGTCAGGTATTTGATGAGGGCCCCCAAGAATGATATTCAAGATATGTCACGAACCCTGCAGTGCGACCACTGCTGATGAGAATGCATGCAGCTCTTGCCCCGGGACAGGATCCCAGGGCCCCATCTGTGCCAGGTATAGTGTTGCATCCTGGGCATGATGGAGACACCTGGGGTGGGGGACTTAGGAAGAGGTTACTTCTAGCTGGTAGGAATGAATTTCAGTTCTTGAATATCAAGTATAGCCAAGGTGCTTATAGCTGAAAATCAGTTTTTCTTACCCTGGAGAGAAGCTTTTCCAGACAATAAGCTTGTAGAACAGAGAGAACAAACACCAGGGAGTGAAATTCTTCCTTCCTCTGGATCTCACCAACATTTGCCTTTCTGTAGCTCCAGCCCTCACTCTTTCCCCACTCCTTAGGGATTACTTAGGACAAGGTAGGACCCCATCCCCGTCATCACCTGCACTCCACCATCCTAGTGTTATTCTTCATTCTCAAATATCTTCTGTAGGGGTCACAAATTAAACCACATTAGATCACATTTTGGTGGGCAGTGAATACCTTAGTAGTTACTAAAATACTAAATAGGCAAGGGGTGGGTGGTGGGTGAGCGTGGTGCAGCTCTGTCCAAGCCCTTCAGGATCTTTTACACATAGGCTTTTGGTTGCTAAGCCCTGGTACAGAATTCTGATCTTAAGGGAAGAGTATCTGTAATCAAGCAGATTAGTACAGTAGTACAATAATAATAATAATAAAGGCACAGGTTTTGAAGCTGTGCTCACATTCTGGCCTTGCTCTTCACTGGCTGTGTGACCTCAGGGAGTTCCTTGGTCTCATTAAGCCTCAATTCCCATGCCTTTAACATGGACATAATAGTAATTTCTGCCTGTTAAGATTGTGAAGTTGAAATAATGTCTGTAAGGTGCCCAACACAGCCCCAAAGGGCTGTTTTTTTCTTGCCTATGAAGAGGAGAGTTATAAAAATGTTACTATAAATGTATTTCATTCAGTATTTTGTGATAGAAAAAAGGAAGAGACTGATTGCTCTCTGCCAATTTGAACCTCACATATTTTCCCATGATTTGTCTCACAAATGGAGAAGTGTAAGTTTTATGACTAAATTTTCAGAACTCTATTTCCTGGTTTCTAATTTGAGCCTTTCTAACTAAAGGGATTGTGTTGCAAGTGCAGTCAGTGCAGTGCCAGGTGGACTGGCATGACAGGCAGGCAGACAGGAAGGAGGAACAGGTATATGGCATCAGCGCACAGAAGAACTGGTTTCAGCATTAGCTTAAGCAGACACTTGAATAACCTAATTCTCATGTTTGCAGTGTTGTCAGAATAAATGGGTGGATATTTGGGAAGAACTTTAACCTGATATAAGAGGCATTTCTGAGTTAAAGACCAAATGCCAGTATTGTCAGTAATCATGTTTAGTCTCCTAAGAACAAACTTGATATGTGGTTGTTTAAGCTGCAGTGACCTTGGCGTCCCAGTCTCCTCCGCCAGTTGCCTGTGGCTGGGATAACCTGTGCCTCTGCCCCAGCATCACCTATTGATATTGTTTGATTGGAAATGGACAACCTATTGGGATTTCTGAGTTTTCTCTATTTTTATTCTACACAGAGATCTGTAATTTACATAGAGAATTTCATCAAAACCTGCAATTCCGGCCGGGCGCTGTGGCTCACGCCTGTAATCCTAGCTCTTGGGAGGCCGAGGCGGGCGGATTGCTCAAGGTCAGGAGTTCAAAACCAGCCTGAGCAAGAGCGAGACCCCGTCTCTACTATAAATAGAAAGAAATTAATTGGCCAACTGATATATATATAAAAAATTAGCCGGGCATGGTGGCGCATGCCTGTAGTCCCAGCTACTCGGGAGGCTGAGGCAGAAGGATCACTCGAGCCCAGGAGTTTGAGGTTGCTGTGAGCTAGGCTGACGCCACGGCACTCACTCTAGCCTGGACAACAAAGCGAGACTCTGTCTCAAAAAAAAAAAAAAAAAAAAAAAAAAAACCTGCAATTCCCAAGTTTAATCTTTAAGATGCCAAAATTGACACAACAAATGTTTAAACACAGTGTTTTAAAGGTAGTATTTAATACTGGTGGAGATGTAGTTAGAAACACTAATATTGCTAATGGTAGCATAAATTGGCGTAGACTTTTTGGAAGTGAGTTTGTGATATGTACCAACAGCTCTAAAAATATATGTAACTGCTTTTTAAGAATTCTAGTTCTAGTGATAAATCCTAAGGAAATAATAAAAGGTAATGTACTTATGTACAATCATGTTTATCAAAGCATTATTTGTAACAGCAGATACTGGAAACAACAGCAATGTTTGCTATTAGGAATGATTTCATAAACTATGGCATACCCAAGCATGATGTTTTAGAAGAATTTTTAGAAACATGGAAAATACAATCTAATGTAGAGAGAGTCTGGTTAGTTAATTAATGCAACAAATATTTATTAAGTACCTACTTAACAGCCCAGTGGTATCATCTGTGGGCAAAATAGAACTTTTATGCCTTCAAAGAATTCATATTGTAATTGTGGGAGGGGTGAAAAGACAAGATAATAAATAACAAGCTTAATAAATAAATGAATTATGTAGTATATTAGAAAATGATAAGTGCTACAGCCAAAAGGAAAATCGAGCAGGACAAGGGCATTACAAGTTCTGGAATGGGGCTGCATTGTGATTTTAAATGGGATCATCCAAATTAGGCCCATTGTAAGGGAAGTATTGGAGCAGAGACTTGAAGGAGTGAGCCTTGAGCCACATGGGGACAGGGATGAGAGGGCATAGCCAGTGTCAAGGCCAAAGGATACAAAGTAATATAAATGGTATGATCTCAATATTGCAAAACAGATATGCTTACATTCTATTTATGTCATATATTTATAAAACATTTTAGTTCTTAAAGCTTCCAAATTATGTTCATAATATCTCTAAACTGATGTTGTGATTAGTTCCATCATCATCCTTAAAGGGTAATTATTGAGGTTTATTAGTGGTAAATTTTAAAAGCTAGGTTTTAGTGCATTCATTCAAATTAGATTTCCTGGAAAAATGCATGATAAGGAAGGAAAAGTAGCACAGTTTTTCCCCGTATGTTTTTTTTCGTTAGCGTCTGCTGACAAAAGGTAAAAACCTTCATTTGTGGAAGAAACATGAAAGTTACGAGTTGCCGAGTTGAGGCAGACTGTTCATCCTGCATTTAGTGGGCTCAAAGCAGATGCTATTAGCAGAAAAATAAAGTATTTCAAGGAGGAGCAGTGAATATGGGATGTAGATAAACAATCTCTAATATTTCGTAAACCAGGTAGTAGAGTTTAAGGCTCTTCAGTGAAGTCTTAGTTTACCTTAATTGCACATATTCTTCCTTAAAAAATTTTATGTAGAAATTACTTTCAGTTTCTGAAGTAATTTCTATTGAAGTTAATTTATAACACCTCTTTCATTAGGGTAGAAATGTTATTAATCTAATTTTCCAATTAATTTGGTTCCCAAAAATAGTGATTTTTTTCCTTATTTTTAAATTTAATGGCTTTATATATTTTCCTCACATTCTTTTTTTTGGTTATGTCAGTGTTTCCCAATATACTTTTCCATTCTTCCCACCCAAACAGAAAAGCCTCAGTACTTTGTTGCTACATTTATTTCTTTTCCTACAAAAATTAAATAGAAATGATTGGTGCTATCAACTGAACACTATAGTCAACATTCCAGTGACAAATTAATTTACACAGTCCCCAAGAGGAAGCAGAATCTATAAGGGAACAGGTTTCTGTTTTGAAGTTCCCGAAGAATATTATAAACAGAAGAGAAAAAAAAGTGAGCTCAGAAATGATTAACACCCATAGTCAGTGCCAAACACACAAAATCTTTTAAGCCAAATTCCTTTTAAAAGTTTCTAGTTGGCCAGCTCGTGGGGAACATAAATAAGGGCAAAGCAGTAATAGTTGATACTTTTAGATCTATAAATAAATACTTGGTGCATATATATTTAAAACCCTAAACATTTATGGGATAATTTAAACACTGCTGTCTGATAGGGTGTATGAACGGCCTGCATATATGCAGCATTGTTTGAAAATGCAAGGGAAATTCTTTGAACTATAGTTTCATACGATGCCTGGGGAATCATAGATGGAGGTAATTGGCACGGCTTGGAATCAGGGGCTTCTGTTTGGTTATTTAAATGGGTTAACTGAAAGCTGCTCTGCTTACTTCTTTTTGCGATAAATAAGAAAGTCATCATCAAGTACTTTTCATGACATTAAATAATCCAGTGTATTCCACACCCAAATTTTACCTAGTCTTTGAAAAATAATTTCTGGTTTTATAGTTTTAGAATGAGCCTTGTTTTAAAGAGCCTATTTTCATTATTTTCTGATGCTAGTAAGTCTGGTTGGGATGATGGAAAATGAAAGTCTTTGTAACTAAGTGTGTAACCTATAATTGAAACGTGAAGGACTTAGACTTCGCTTGGAAGGAGGATGGGCCCTGCTGTACTACTGAAAAACGTGGGAGCGGGCAAGGTGGTTGAGGTTCCCTGGGGGAACCTGTGCTGGCTTCATTGCATGAGGTTGATGGCTACCTATGTCTGTCATTCCCTTTTCTGAATTATCATTACAGTGAAAGATTCAGAGTCAATAGAATGAGGTTCACAATTCTTTGCAGAGTGGGAAAACATCACTTAACTTTCTTTCTGTATATTCAGCCACATGGGTAAGAGTCCTGCAGTCTTCCCGCCATAGGGGCATTGGACTTAGCAATTATGTTTGAGTTTTATCGCTTTAGTTATCAAAT